TGACACACCCACACACACCCCCACACAGCAAGCAGGAGGCTCCCAGGAGCAGCACATGGCAGTGCGGGCAGCTACAGCACAGGGAACTTAGGGGAGTGGGGAGCTGATAGGGGGGCTGCCGGTGCACCTGGGTTCCAAGTCCCTACCAGCTAGCTCCAATAGGCTGCTCTTCCTGCCAGCAGTGGACAATGCAGGTGGCTGCCAAACAACATTATATGGGAGCATTGCAGAACTTTAAACAAGCATGTTCCCTAATTGATCAGCAACATAAGAACGAAACAGCATTAACCGGGACGACTTTAAGTGAGAAGTTGCTGTGCTTGCTCCTCTTCCTTGCCAAAAAATGGCCACTTGATAGATGATTGTCCATCTACTTTTATGATATCTGGTTAGAGGTGTCATCTTGTCCTTTGTCTTTGAGAAACTGGTTTACCCAGACTTGTCTGGTAAACACATTTCAGACCTAATTTAGCTGTTTATAACTTTATATATAAATAATCATGATATTATTGACCAGTGAGTTATTAGTTTTCAAATGATACTTTACAATGCATATTTTGTACAAAGATTATTATAGTAGCATGTGGTATGTGAATACCATTATAGATGGTATGATGAGATTGCCTATACTGGCATATGGTCCATCTGTGACTGCTAGTGGCAAATATCTCCAACTGCTGGACATTGGACACTACATGGGGAGGACTCAGAGTTACTACAGTGAAATTCCTTCCCAGGTGTCTGGCTGGTGGGTCTTGCCATCATGCTTGGGGTCTAACTGATCATCATATTTGGGGGCAGGAAGGAATTTTACCTCCAGGTCAGATTGGCAGATTGCCTTCCTCAGCAGCATGGGGCACGGGTCACTTGCTGGTTTAAACTAGAGTAAATAGTGGATTCTCTGTAACTTGAAGTCTTTACGTCAGTAATACTCAGACCTCCATGCTTCAGGAGTCAAATTAGTGATCAACAATACCCAAAAGAGTCACAGTAGTGTTAATTCATTTTTTAAAAATTTATTTATTTATTTATTTAAATTTATTTTTACACACACACACACACAGCAAAATGACTGACCAAGTATTATTATTTTATCAACTACAGTTGACTAATAACCTAGTAAAAGCATCCTGATTGGTTAATAATTAAATCACACAGCGTTTTAATATCATCTGCCACAAAGAGCCTCAGGAGACATTCTACAGAACCACTTGCAAGCCTAAGTCTGATTATCACTGCTTTTAAATCATGATTTGAGGACTTCATTAACTCAACCATAAGTTATGGCTCTGTTACAGAAGTAGGTGGATGGGGTTCTGTGGCCTGTAATGTGCAGGAGGTCAGACTAGATGATCACGATGGTCCCTTATGACCTTAAAGTCCATGAGTCTAAATAAACAAACTGCAGTTAGGAGTTTCAGATGATACACACACACAGCTTCAAACAGCTTTGTTTGCTACGTTGTCGTTTTGCAAGTTAATAACATCTAATATGCATGATAAGGGGTCAAGAATGGGAAATTTAAGGGCTTTTTGTTTAGAAAATATTAATAATGGTGTTAGTAAAATGTTAATTACTACTTCAGTATTTTTAACACAGAGATTTACCATAATTTCCAGAAAATAACATGCTCTTTTCATTGAATTTTGATGCTGAAAATTAAAGGAGGTGTGTGTATGAGTGCATTTTCTCTTCTACATTATTAATTATTGTGAGGGCAAGTAGAGTGCGCAACAGACATCTCGCATAATCCAACAGCAAACACTGCATTTGTGATGTGACCTCTGAGTGACTCTAGAATTGTTCTGTTTCCCTAGTATTATTATATTGTACCTTATTTGTTTGCCTTAGAGTCCTGTTTGTTGTCCAGGTTCTGAACAACGTACTTTACTGTTGGTGAGAGGAGATGAAACAGTGAGGAGAGGAAGGAAGAGAAAACAGGAGAGAAGAGGAAACAGAGAGGGAGAGGAGACCAAAAGGAGAGGTGAAGAGGTAGAAAGAAGAGGATAGACTAAGTGGACAGGAGAGTGGGTGAGATTAAGAGAGGTAAAAGAACATTGTTAGCTTTAGCAATAAAAACATAGATGCATGTTATTTTCTGGAAAATATTATATCTGTTCTTGGCAGCTGTATTGAAACAATGGGTCATATTTTAGTGATCAGAAAATTGAGAGAGAATTGATATCAAAACCCTGCATTTTTAAGTCTCTAAACGCCCTTGTACATAGTGTCTAACCATAAATACAGTATGTGGTGGGTTTTTTATGAGATACTGTAGATGAACTAAAGGCTTAAAAACCTATTAGGACAGCTGTCTATTGACCAAATTTAGACCTGGATTAAATGAGTGCAACTCCTGTCAGGTGTAACTGGATCACAAACCAGTGTAAATGAAAAAGTAGCACAGCTAGCATCAATTTGGCACCTGGTAGCCTCAGTTCTCACCTGTGCCAAATTCACGCTCCTTGGGGAAAGTTGGGAGATGGCTCAAAGCCACCTTTTTGCTTCCTTGATCCTGCGCGGCTGATGGCCAAAAGGATTCCCAGCATAATTTAGAGCAGCCTCTAACTTATGCTCGCAGCAACCAATCAGCATCCTGGGGGATCTGGCAGAGCCCTCTGTGCTGAGACCTGCTCCTAGAATGTCCCACTCCATCACTCCCTCTATGTGAAGAAGTGAAACAAGTTGCATTGAGCCAACTACGCTAGCTTTACTTTAGAGACTAACCAATTTATTTGAGCATAAGCTTTCGTGAGCTACAGCTCACTTCATCAGATGCATACTGTGGAAAATACAGAAGACGTTTTTATACACACAAAGCATGAAAAAATGGGTGTTCATCACTACAAAAGGTTTTCTCTCCCCCCATCCCACTCTCCTGCTGGTAATAGCTTATCTAAAGTGATCACTCTCCTTACAATGTGTATGATAATCAAGGTGGGCCATTTCCAGCACAAATCCAGGTCCCGTCCCCCCCCCCAAACCCACTCTCCTGTTGGCAACAGCTTATGTAAAGTGATCACTCTCCTTACAATGTGTATGATAATCAAGGTGGGCCATTTCCAGCACAAATCCAGCTTTTCTCCCCATACCCCCCCCCCCACTCTCCTGTTGGTAATCCTGTTGGTTTGTGGGGGGGAGAAAACCTGGATTTGTGCTGGAAATGGCCAACCTTGATTATCATACACATTGTAAGGAGAGTGATCACTTTAGATAAACTATTACTAGCAGGAGAGTGGGGTGGGGGGAGAGAAAACCTTTTGTAGTGATAAACACCCATTTTTTCATGGTTTGTGTATATAAAAACATCTTCTGTATTTTCCACAGTATGCATCCGATGAAGTGAGCTGTAGCTCACGAAAGCTTATGCTCAAGTAAATTGGTTAATCTCTAAGGTGCCACAAGTACTCCTTTTTGCGAATACAGACTAACACGGCTGTTACTCTGAAAACTACTCTAGCTTTGTGTCACCTGTGGGATTCTCAGCGGGAGGAGTCCAGGGTTGAGTCCCCAGCAAAGCAGCCAGAACAGGGACCAAGGATTTAGCCTAATGAGTGTCAAAATTCAGGATGCAGAAAGTGGGGTGATCAGGAAAAGAAACTTACAGAAGGGTTTAAAAGCAAGCCCACCCCACCACTTTCTTATACCTCTTTGCTAACAGCTTGACAATAGAGTGGAATCATCTTTGCTTTATTTTTTACTTTACTTTTTGTTTTCGATCTTGTCCTTCTGTTCTGTGGTGTGTAAATTACATTCATTTCCCACACCCAATTAATGCAATATTTGTGTATATGCTATTCTAGCACTTACTCCAATCTGCACCTCCCTTTATATCACCATTGAATTTAGTCCTATGGTTTTACTATTCTATAATATATAGTTATATTTTATATGGAACTGTTAGATTATTTTATCAATAGTCTGAATTGTTGATACCCAAAATACATACATTCTCTTTTAATCTAAAGATTATTTGGATGTCATATTACTATAGAAAACTGTATGTTTTGTTAATATATAAAAAAGCAGTGTCATAGAAACTGAGTTCCTATCCAGGCTGGTAGAAGTGATAGCAGACGCATATTCTGTCTTGTTTCATAAAGTTTAAGAAAACAACTTCAGTACTAGGTAGTTACCCTCGTCTGTTTACACACACCGAGATAAAAATATATTTGCTACCATTATCTGTAAGTAGCCTTCCTTTTGTTAGTTTGTGACACAAAACTATAACCTTATGAAACATAATGTTTTTGTGTGCTAGCACTCTATATTAACCCAGTGGTTATTTTTCTGTATGGCTACCTGTTTTTAATTATTTTTAAGAGATGGTGTGTCGTTGCTTTGTTTGGTGGTACCTTGATACTGTAGTGATGGACATCTTAAAAATGCTTATGAGCATAATAGTTTATAGCAACATTCTTTAGTCCAGAAAAAAAACACAGTCAACCAGAAATTTACCAGAGAAACATTACGGTCAATGAATTTATTATTTAAAGTTGATTACAATGGCCACCATCTTAAAATGGTTGGGGGGGTGGTTACATTTTATCGTTTTTCTAATTGTCCTTTTCAAATATTAAGTGAAACACTTCACAATGATACACAATAATTTGCATGTGATAGAAATTGAAAAATACTATGAATGTTTTATATAGTGAGATTGTTTTTCTCCTCTTTCTTCCCCCCTTCCCTTTTTCTCTGTATTTTTTTAAATACTGACACCTGAAGTTATGCCTGATTCTGTAACAAATCAGTGCAAGGGATGGGTGAGAGGAGATAAGTGTGAATATATTTTTCTCATGTTTTTCTTTTTTTTTCATTTTGAAATCTATTGGGCTGTGAATGATGTATTACTTACCAGGAGCATTGTTATATAATTCCTGAAATGTTTGTTTAGGAGGCTTTTTAAATTTGTTTTTAATTACTTATAAGGGGTGTCTAAAATCCTGCATAGGCATCTTCTTTCTTTGAAAGAAATTTTTTTTTTCTTCCTTGAAAGGTTGGATAACACATTAGAGGAAATTATATTTAAGCTGGTGCCTGGACTTCGAGAACGTAAGTTTGATTAGTTTTGCTTCCTTTTTTGTGTTATTGGAAGCAGCATTTCTAGTGATATTTCTATATTGCTGATCTGAAACATCACTTTGCTTTTGTTTGATGTTAACTAGAGGAACTTCAGCGTGAGATCGAATTTTGGAAGAAAAACAAACCTCAAGAAAATGGACAAGGTGATTTTTTTGTTGCTGTTCTAGCTATAAATTTAATAATGTATCTGTTCAGTAATGTAATGGCTCCTCCATAGGCCGCAGTCCCATGCAAATACTGGTGTTTGTGTATAGGTCCATTGAATTAAGTGGTTGGAACTACACAGGTGCATAAAATTACACTTTTGCATACGTGTTTACAGGATCAGGGCCACGATACCCTGATGTTTGTCTATTTAGCAATTGTAAATTTTAAATCTAACAATTTCATCCTTATTTTTACTTGCATTTCCCAATAATATTCCCATGTTTGAGATTCATACTACTTTCTGCTTTGAATTCTTAATATCTTTTATACTTGATGTTTTCTACTTTGATCCTAGTTATAATCTACCAGGGGTAAAACATAGAACTACGTGAGTCTTTATATACAGTTAATTTCTTTTGTTATCAAATTTGGCCAGCTGTTAAGTGGGAGGTTGTCAAGAATTAGGTTTGACAAGTAACAGAAATATTTTTCCACAAGTGCTAAACAATTGCTTTATATATATTCCAGAATGGATGTCTTTCACTATTTAGTCTTAAAAATCTTTGGGAGTCCTTTATTGAGCTGATAAGTAGTGCAGAAAATCCAGGGGTTTTGTATTCTCTAAACTGGCTTCATGATTTGGATGCCACAGCGTGTTTGACTTTTTGTAAACCATTTAAAGACACACTGTCAATCCAAAGAGAGATTTATTATGCTGTATGAGGATCATCTGTTTCAAAGAGGCATTGTCAAGTACTCTTTTTATAAATTTTTTATATATTTTCTGTTTATAATATCCTCTTTGCAGTTTGAAAAAATAATATTTCCTACCTCACTAGTACTTTGTACATTTACATTTGGCAAACATTACAGGGACAACTTTAATTTTTTCTCTTCCTATTAATACAATTATTTTAATGTTAGCCTATAGTACAATTTAGACAAAACTTTACTAGTCCACTACAAAGTACCAGATATAATTAGAAGTACATATTAAATAAACTTAAGACAAATATATTTATTTATTAATTTTTATTAAAGATAAACGGAACTGTTGATAGTGTTATTTACTCATCATAATGATCCATTAAAAGAAGGGTGTCCTTTACAAGATAAAGGAATATAACAGAGTCAAGGAAATACACTGTAAATTACCAGTTACTGTAAATTTATACAGTTATAAGGATTGTACGATTGATATATTTTTAACCAGTTCGTCCTTCTAGATCTTCCTCAAATAGTTCAGTTGTTAATCTAAGGACTTCTTTGCTTTGTAAATCAAAGTGTAGAATATAAACGGGTTATGTAGGCTGGCTACTTCCATCTCACCACGATGAAGTTGTTCACACCAGTAGTTGGTGAACAACAACAACCAGTGAACAACTTCTTGGTTGTCATCTAGGCTGAAAGGTTGCTTGCCTTTGCTCCTACTGTGCGGTTGTTGTGACATTTTGGGGATCACCCAGGTGATTCTTTCACCACCTGTGTTGTAATTTTGGGTGCTTTACTGCTATGCTATAAGAGCTCAGAGTTTTGACACCAGTAGCCAGCCTACAAGCATAAAGGTCTCAACCCTGGCTTCCACCTGCCTAGTTACTCGTTGCAGGGCTGATCCCACTAGCCCTTCTAGTCTCGAGTCTCTCCCAAATCTGTCTGCCCAAGTTCTTAACTACCAGACACTTGGACTTTTCTCCTCCGGTTTGTCACCCCTGAAGGAGTGAAACCTGCCCCCAGTCATGAGTTCACTTGGGCACACACACTCCATACAGTTTGCACAACAAACTCTTGCTTGCAGTAAAAATAAACCAAAGTTTTGTTTGATAGAAAAATCATAAATTCAAAGATGGAATAGGGAGGAAAAACAAACACACGTTACACAGAAAATATATATAAAGATGGAGTCTCGGTCTTTACACTTCTATGTTAGTTAAATTCCCTTTTCTCATACAAGTTACCTATTGCCTCTGAACAGTTTCCCAGCATATACCCTCTGTTCTACAGGGGATCCCATGTTTCCCAGATAGCACCCAGCTTAGAGGCTGGCCCTCAGTTTTTGGATAGCCTTCACTTCAAACCCTCTTCTCTTTTAACAGGGTGTGCCTTTTTTTTTTTTTTTTTTTCCTTTCTGTCAGGCTCTGGTAATTCATGGATACACAGAGCAGGGGAAACTCCCTCCTTCCTTAGTTTTCTTTTCAGTTTAAATGTCTTTCCATTAACTTTAATGATCCACCATTGTATCTTCCTGGCTGGACAATGGGTGGGTATTTGAAGTTGGTTTCATGTAAACAACTGACCTGGAAGATGCCCTTCTCTGCCTGATTACTTCACCCTCTGTTCTGAGGTGATGCTGTAGTTGCACCACAGTTATTACGATTTTCTACACACACACACACACACACATTCATAACCATAATCTGTGTACATATCACCTAATGACCATCAAGGTCAGAACATTACAAGCTTTCATAAAAGACCTTACTTGGCATATACTTATACACAATAACACTGTATACAACCAGTTGATTCAGTTGCTTATTCTCTCGGGTTCAGACACACCTGTTCTCCCTGGGGTGTCTGCGCCCTGATTGTCACAGTTGTTACCTTCTTTTTCTTCTCAGGTGTCTGTGGCAGCTTGCTTGTAGAGATCGATAGGATGACTGTAGGAGTGCTTGAGCAGGGTAGCAGAGAGTGTGAGTGAAGGGTGGTCACTTAAGAGTTTTATACTCTTCTTTCTATTTTAATGGAATTATAGGAAAATACACCTCTTTCAGGTCTCTTTAGATTCAAGGTTGGCTGCCGTTATACTTTCATGGGCTCCATGCCTGGTTTTGGTCACACCTTCAGCTCCTGAGCACACAATCTGTTTAATGAATTTGCCGCATACTTCTAATTGCCTTTGTTCTCTTATCCTCAGATAATCTTTTAAAGTTAGTTTTATCTTTTTTTTTTGTTATTAGTATTATTATTATTATTCAGTCCATTTCCTGAGGGCAGATCTACACTTAAAAGGTGGCAACGGCACAGCTGAACTAGAGTAATGTATAAGTGAAGACACACCTATGCCTATGGGAGAGCTCCTCCCGTTGGCGTAGTTACTCCACCTCCACAAGAGGCGCTAGCTGTGTTGACGGGCAAACCTCTCACACTGACATAGCGCTTTCTATACAAGGGGTTTGGTCAGTATAACTACTGGTGTGAACAATCCACACCCCTGAGTGATGTAGTTATACCAAACTAAGTCTGTAGGGTAGACATGGCCTCAGAGATCTCTTCAGTTTCATTAGGGTTCAGCAGGAAATGAAATTCTGTTTGTAAAAACTCCAGACGCTCTTAATATAAACATTTTCAGTTTTACAGTCTTTTTTAAAATTAAATAACTTTTAAAGAGGGTCTCTAGCTTAAATGGTCATTACAGAATTTATTGATTCATCATAATTTTTGGAGAGATGATTCTTCCTGACTTGGGGGAGGGGATTGCTTACATATTAAATAATTAATAAAGCTCCCATCAAGATATATATATTCTATACTTAAAAGGCTTCTTAGATTAGAAATCAGTTTAGCAAGGTTATTAAATTTCAGGTTGGTACATAAAGCATTTTACCATAGCCATGATATTAACAAACCATATTAAATGTTTTTCATTCACTTAGAATACTTGCAGATACGCCATTTCAACATTTAAGAAATAAACAAAAATTTTCTGTAAGGCATTTTTCCTAGCATTTCCAGAATGAAGATTTTAGAGTGATTGTGAAAGAAACCCATTTCAATAAGGATATTTCCAGCATTCTTTTGTTTGGGTTTACTACAGTGTTTTTTTTCTTGGAAAGGGGAGCTTGCAGAGACCCGCTATACTCCTGGGTTTTATGTCTTTGATAAGGATCTTCAGTGTTCCTCTTCGAGTGGTGTCCCTGTGGGTGCTCCATTCTAGGTGTTGGTGCGTCACTGCGCCGGAGATTGGAGATTTCTCACAGCAGTACGCGGTCGGGGGAAGGGCACCCACAGGAGTCGTCTCGTGCAACCGTTAGAACCTCCTGTAGTGCGCACTCCCCCAACCGTCCTCGGCTGCAGACAGATTTCCGCGGCAGTGCTCTCTTTGATACTTTCTATTAAAAAAAAAAAAGTTGCAAGTTACATAGGAACTTCTTTTTAGTCTATACTTAGTTACACTGTTTAGTTGGTCTTAGTCTATACATAATTACATAGTTTCATTAATTTCTCTTAGATGTTTTTCTTAAAAAAAAAAAAAAAAGGAAAGGAAAGGAAAAGAGAAGAACGAAAAAGACTTTTTCTCTCCTTAACTCCCCTTTGGGAATAGTTTCTGTTTACCATTGCCTTATCTCTAGAGAGGTGGGAGAGGCTTAACTGCAATCATGCCGGGCTCAACAGGATTTAAAAAGTGTGACTCCTGCCGTGAACTGATGATGGCCACACATCCTGCATTCGCTGTCTGGGAGAAACTCATATCTCCCAGAAATGCATACATTGCACCAACTTAACAACAAGGGCAAGACGTGACAGGGATCTCCGCTTGAAAGTGCTTGTCCTGGAGAAATCCCCCCAACCTCCGCGAGAGACATCCTCCGGGGAGTCTCATAAATCGAGATCCCTAAGCTCTGATAAGGCTCTGACTTCCAAACTGTAAGGAAGCGAGCCTTGACCTCTCCAGCAAGGGTCTCTCAGAAAAAGAGAGCTTCCCCAGCGAGGTCTTTACCCTCAGTGCTCCACTCATCCAGAGTTAGCACTTACGAGGCACTGGGCTCCTCCAGCACCATCCCTCAGTGGAGCCCTGCCCAACCTCAACGCACGGCACAGGAGTTGAGACGTCAAGTCTCCTCCACAGCACACCCCGGTGCAGAGCACGGCACAGGCAGCGGCACCGCGGTCAATGCTGCCACCACCGGCACTGACCCAAGACTTGCTGCCGCCTAACAAGCCGAACCCAGTACGTGTTGGTGCTCCAACGGTCGACCACAACCCCAAGGCGGGACCA